TTAAAAAAAATTACTTTTAGCGTTGTCTCATAGCATGATAAATTAGAGTTCAAATCCCCACTGAAAAAGATATCAATATTTAGTGTTAGATACATATGCCTAACAAAAAAAAAGTTATTTACTTTTCTTTTCATCTTTAGCTTTCATCAATTTCTAATGCTAGTCAAGATTAACAGTTCAACTCTTAATAAATTGGCTACACTCAAACATCAACATGTGGTGATTTGGAGTTCACATATTCAAAACTAAACCCCATACTTTCAACGAGTTCATCCAAGGTTATATATCCTTGTTTAGTTATATATTCTCATCAAAATAAACTTCTCACTGACCATATTTAGCAAAGGTTCCTCCATTACTATTCAAATCCTCTCCGGATGGCCAAACATTATCTGCTGATTCAAAGGTTCTTCCATTCCCACATTATTGTTGAAACCCCCTCCATCAGAATACAAGGTATGTATCAGTACTTTTGTTAGGATGAATATTTAGTGATTTTAGCAGTATGATGTTATAAAAAATTGTAAGTATGAGATTATTTTACTAGTGATTCAAGATATTAAATTGATATCTAGTTCTTAGTGAAAATTTAAATTATTTTTTATTTTTTTATTTCTCACCGGTTTGACCCTTGATTTGACTCCAGTTTGACTCATTGAGCCTTGACCCACTACCTTGACCTATTCAATTGCCAGTCCGATTTTCAGTATCTTGATTGAAATTGAATTGTGTGTCTCTGTTTATGATGACATATAATGGGTCACATTCTTAGCTTTCCCTTTTGTTTTGTTTTGTTTTTTGTTTTTGTTTTTTTCCCTTGTTGATTTATCATGCATGATGAGGATGCTCAATTGCAATTTTTTGCCAACTAGGATAGTTTAGTGATGACTAGATATGAGATGTGTGTGATAAAAGAGAAAAATATAAATGATTAAAAAAATTAATGACTTGGTTTTAAGCAAGTCGAAAATTCAAAGATTGAATCGCACTAAGTCATATTTGATGGATTAAGTTTTAAGTAAATTAAAAATTAAAAAATTAAGAGATTAATTTTTTCTTTATTTTTTCTCATTAGCATTATTAGGATATTACCAAAATCATAAAAGGTAAAATAGTAAAAAAAATTTGGCTCCCTTTCCTTCCAAAACTTTCAACCATGCTCCCCTCACCTTCCCTTCTCTCCAACTAGACACACCCTAAAAGATATATCTAGAATAATTAGAAATGAAAACATGCTTGAGCTATACGAAACAATGATATGGGAAAATACCTCGTTACACACTAATAGAAAAATGGTATTGTAGGCTGAGTAAAATGGGTCTTTTAGACTAGAGTCACAATTCGATTAAGAGTCTGTTTGGATCAGCAATTGGAAAAGTAGCTTATTGTCAATTTGACTTATGAAAAAGTAAAGTTGGATAAAAACTAAATTGGATAAGCTGAATTATGTTTGGATTGGAGTTTAGAAAAGTGAATTTGCAAAAGTAAGATTGATAAAGGGTTGTTTGGATTATAGTAGAGTAAAAGTAATTTTGGTTGTAAAATGACCAAAATGAATGTGAGTTTTAATAGATAATAAAACATGATTAAAAAAATGATTTCACATAATATAATGAAATTAAAATAATTTAATATGAAGAAATTAAATTTAATGAGTGAATTAAATTTTAAAACTTCAGAGAAATCATAAAAAATATTTTAAATATAAAGTGAAACATGAAAAAATAAAAGTATATTTCCAGTAGCATGTTTAAAAATAAAAAATATTTCTAACTTATTTATTACTTTCAACTAATTTTAATTGATTTTTTGTTATCTATAAATTTGTTATTTGAGGCTTATAATAAGAACCAAAGGAGACAATAAATTTCTTAACTTTTTCTTTCTCCATGTTTTAAAAGCTATAAGTCATAAGTTATTGGCCCGTTTGGAATAGCTTATAAGTAGCTTTTTAATAATGGTTTACAGAATACGAGACAAGTGTGTGAGAGGAGTTTTGTCTCGGTTTACGTGAAACGTGCTTATAGAAAATTTCTTAAGCCTTCCCAAATAAGCCCTACAAGTCATAAGCTGTTAATTTTATTCTATAGCTTATCTTAGTTTTTCATACAAAAGTCAGATTGCCCAATTGCCTATCTAAGCAGCATCCAAATTTTCAATTGGGCTTCTATCCAATTTAAGTTACTTGAAAAACCCAACCAAGCAGACACTAAAAAATCTCCTCTTTTTGCATCGGTTTCGCTGCTACCATAGAAAAAGTAACTTTTTTAGACAAGGAGGAGAAAAAGGATCCTTTAATAGGTACCTTGTTGTTAAGTGTGCAGTAGTGTGAAGCAAGCCGAGCAGGCGTTGTGCTCAGTAGTTGCTGCTCTGTTGTATAGCTAAGCATGGGAAAAAGGAGAACCAAGAGATAGAGGAGAGGCCAAGGAAAGGGATGACGCACTGAAATTGTCCTTTGGTACTTTAATATGATGATCAAGTGAAGGAGGAAGATGACATTCCAAGAAAATAACAGAGAAGGAGGATTAAGTTCAGAGTTTAAATAGACAGTGATAAGATATGATGACCTTTGAGCTTTAGACACATGTTACTTAAACGATGTAGATAACTATCATTTACATCACTATCGTAGAAAATTGGTGTACATTAAACAATTTTATTTTGACTTCATTTTTTGATTATTTATATTAAAGAGCAATAAATAATTAACGTTATATTGATCATTTGAGGAGCTTGTATAAATGTTGTACCATTATTTAAAAAATGTCTCTGCACACATTTATTACATCAGAACGGTTTAGATAAAGCGGTTTGAAAAAGGGGTTTTCTGGCAGTGGCAATTCCATACTCATCACATCCTTTTTGGTTGAGACTTGCTACATGAAACTAAACACAACTAAGAACGCAGCAAAGAATACAGGTCAATTTGCATGCTCATGATGAAAACTGAGCTTCCTCTAAAAGGAAAAGTTAGAATCATGTTCCGATGATGAGAGCATAGAACACAGGAAAAGTTGAGTTCCAGCTTATGAATAAATGATTTTTTTTTTCTGAAACTGCTACCTTTTTTCCCCCTTCAATTTACACTATAAAAGGTGAATGAGGTTATCTCATTATGAAAGTTAATTTCATTTCCTTTCTAAGCTTGCAAGGCTATTTCATATCGGTAGAGCTGGGAATCAGGGTCGGCCCGGCCTTCCAGGGCTGGCCCTTCAGGGCTGACGGGCTTAAAAGGGCCGGCCCTACAGGGCTGAAATTTTAAAAATACTCCAATTTGCTAGGCCCGGCCCTTAAGCTACAGGGTCAGGGCTGGCCCGCGGGCTTTTAGCCCGTTTAAGAAAAAATACTATTTTTATATTTATCATATTTTTTAATAAAAATATAAAAATAAACCAATAAAATTATTAATAAAAGACATAAATATGAATAAAATTAAGTCACAAATATAAAATATCATCATATATAAATATTCATCAACATCTAAGAACATCTAAAACATTCATTAACAAGATAATAACATCTAAAAGTTTTATCTGTAATGCAATTGTGCAATAAATAAACATTATCATTAATCTTTTGAAACCTCATCATCACTATAACTAATTACTTTTCTTCATAAGTATGCTTTTCTTTTTTAACAAAAATATCAAGTTTTTCTTCTTTATAAGAATTTTATTTTTAAATTCTGCAATCTAACTATTATTTTACTTTAATGTGAGAAATATTATTGTTGAAACTTATGAATTTTTAATTCAAATTATAGAATCACAAGTTATATAAGTATAAAAATATTCTATTATCAAATATATATATAGTTTAAAAATATCAATGCATATAATATAAATCAAATCATTATTAAAGTCCAAATTAACCTATTTTTTAAAAATTTAATTGGATAAATTATTGTTTAAAACTAAATTTAATTTTAAAATGATAATAATAACTAAATATTTGAAATATTATTAACAATGTAAAAAATTAATAACATTAATATTATATAAAAAAATTTAAAAAATAAAAAAATTATAAAAGGGCCGGCCCGCGGCCTTCCAGGGCCGGCCCTTTTAAGCCCTCGGCCCTTCAGGGCTTATTTCTCATTTTAAGAGAAAAATATTAAGTCTGGCCCTCATAATTTCAGGGCCTAAACAGGCCGGCCCGACGGGCTCGGCCCGTTTTTCCGGCTCTACATATCGGAACCTAATAATGGAAAAAGAGGGAAAGTGAAAAAGGAGAAGAGGAAGAAGTCTTTTGCCAAATTTGCTAATGTCATGGAAAGTTAAAGCTATATTATGTCGTCATATTGATAAGGTGAGATTTACACCATTACATCATTTACATACAGTTCAGTGGTTTAAATTTTTAATTAATAATTTTTAAATGAAAAAGATCATTTTTTTAAGGGAGAGTTATCATGAGGTCTTAAAGAAAAAATTTAGTTAAAAAAATTATTAACAAGTGGCCAGCTTAAACATATTGTCATTGTATTTTTTCAGTTGTCAATAAACTTTATGGTAATTAAATTCCTTTCTTGTGACCTAATTGTGATTCTTCTTTTTTTAACGAATTAACAACTAAAAAATAATATTTGTTTTAAATTTTATGGACATTAAAATATAAAAATAAAATTATATTAAATTCATCACTATGTAATGAGCACCAATTGTTTGGAATGATTTAAATAAGTACTTGTAAACACATTTTACATAAGTCAAAACAAAAACTTTTTTACATACCTATCTTATATTTTGTGAATCATGATTTAAAATTTTTTTTAAAGTTATTTTAAGCGATCCACCTCACGTAAAATGAGTCCCCATATATATATATATGTATATATTTGGGTGGGGGGTGCCCCTTGTACTTTTCATCAGGCGGTTGATGATGACATCGTTAGAGCTCGAGCCGTTTGTCAAAATTTTTAAGGGGGTTTTGATTATGGGCAAAAAGCATCCCGCCAAAACTATTCCTCACTTTAAGCTATCACCCAGGCAATTGGCAAAAGCCCTAAACCCTGCAACTCCACTTCACTCTCTCAACCCCTGCACACTCGCTCAGCCACTGCACGCGCTCGCTCACAGTCACAACAACACACTCATCTCTAATGGCGAACCTATGAAACCCTCACCAATTCAAAACTCCACGAAACTTCTTTCCCCTTCTTCTATGGCTTTTGCCTCTGCTCTTAGGGTCTCATCCATTCTTAGGTACCGTCTCTCTCCGCCCCTTGCTCCGACAAGCTTGTCTCGGCTCCGGCAGAGCTTCTCAGGGAACCGTTTTCTCTCCGCTAGTCCCCCCCACAAACTCCGGCTTGTCAGAGCTCGACGCCGGGATGAGGCGGTGCAGGCGGGAATAGATGAGAATGGGGGAGTCGCGGTGAGAGATAGAAATGACAATGATGGAAGGGTTGCGCCTACGGCAGCTCCCAAGGAGGCAACTGAAGCTTATATTGCTTATGCCATGTCTGTGTTGCTTGGTCGCGCATTGCCTGATGTTCGTGATGGCTTGAAGCCGGTGCACAGAAGAATTCTGTGAGTTTTGTTTTGTTTTTCTTAAATCAATGAGGTTGTTTTGTCTGAAGACAAGGAGTATTTTCATATCTTCACGTCCTCGTCTGAAGGCGAGGAATATCTTGGGAATTTTTTTGAAAAGTTATGATGTCATATTTTCTGAAGAAAGGAATGTCTTTAACTTTATGCCTTTTCTACTCTGCGCTTTGTGGTTGATAATAGTGACACCTGGGCTAAAAGAAAGTGAATTAGTCAACTGAAGAATTTTACTTTCAAACATCGTGTGGTATGCTTGTTCGTGATTGCGCTTATATGCGTTTTAACTTCTCTATGGCACGCAAGACCTTTGTTCTGATCCATTTTCTTTAGGAATGTGGGCTTATTCTTGATCGCAATGATTTTGCAGGTTGTGAAGATATTAGCATAATCCTATAATTCAATTTGCTATTAATTTTTTCAGGGTCTGTGAGGCATAATGATATGTAATTCAAAAGAATCTTTGTTGCTTTTGGTTCAATTTGTATTATTGCACATTGCTTACAATATTTACTTTTTCTTATTTTATTCATCTTATGAAGTTACTGCGATTATCAACTATCACCCGCAGCTTTTAGTGTTGTTATTTGGAAAGAAAAAAAGAAAACAACAAACAATTGTCTAATAACTTATTGAGTTTAATTTTAGAGCAGGTGAAATTTGAAATTTTTTAACGAGATTATTGCTAAACAACCTAATGATTTATTGTTCTCCTATTAATGCTTTTTTATACAGATTTGCAATGCATGAGCTTGGCCTTTCATCACGTAAACCATTCAAGAAATGTGCAAGAGTTGTTGGAGAGGTTAAGTGTCTTGCAATAGATATTCATGTTCTAAGAAAGCACAGATAACGTGTATCTCCATATATATGTGGACCATGCCTGTTCATATTGACATCTTTATTTTCTTATGTGTTACTGCTTCTGCAGGTTTTGGGAAAGTTTCATCCTCATGGAGACTCTGCTGTGTATGATTCGTTAGTAAGAATGGCCCAGGTATGATAATTTTGTTATCCACTCTTCATCCTAATAATGATAAACTAGTAGGAACAGGTATGGTCAATGATTATCTATCTCTAGGTAGCTTTTGGCATGCAGAATAGAATGGAATCTAAAAGAAAATGAAATAGAAAAAGATGATTTTGTGGATTATAAATATCTTTTATGCTTCTTAATAGAATAATGATAATAAAAAGGTACAATCACTATAAAGTAATAACCATAGAAGTTTAATACATGTTGAATGTCTCATTTATTGTGTAATGGAAAGATCGCACAACCAAGTGCCCTGTAACTTCAAATAGATAACTTCTTTTCTGAATGATTATTAAATATGTTGGAAAATAATTCTGCTAATTTCTTCCTTTTGATAGACTAAGCAATTAGCTAATAAACCTCCAGTAAGGCATGAGGCAGAGATTGAATTAGACCTCAAAAGGGATAATAGTGACAATAGGACAAATCTTGAAGCCAATAGAGCCTGAGTCCCTTAATATTCATTAACAGAACTCCTCTTGCTATTTCATGTGAAGTCAATATGTAAACTATCCCCTCCTGTTCTGCGGTAATTACAGTACATGGGACTCTTCTTGAATGTGAAGGCTGCCATTCCTTCCTAGGAAAATGCACCACATTACTGTAACTATGTACATTGCATCACTTTTTTCTCTTTCTGTTTAGAGCTGTATTTGCGATTACTATTTTGGTTCTTGACAAGGATCTATATGAATATTGACCTAATATTTCCTTTTTTCGTGAATTGTTGCCTCTGAAATGTGATGTGCAATTTGTTGGCAGACGATGTTTTCTTCTGATGTTCTTTTGGTTTCAGGATTTTGCCTTGCGCTGTACACTAATCCAAGGACACGGAAACTTTGGAACAATTGATGCAGACCCTCCAGCTGCCATGCGTTACACAGAGTGTAGATTGGAAGTATATTTTGAATAACTAGATTCTTCTTTTAAACAATATCTATTTGGCTCATAATCTGTACTTTATCTTTTGAACAAGGGCTAGATGTGAGACTTTGGCTTGTTCAAACCATGTTTTTGTTGTGTTGATTTGACGATTGAATGCTTTAAAGTTAATTTCTTTCTTTCTTTCTTTCTTTCCTTTTTTTTTTTTTGGCTCCATTTAAAGTTAATTTCTATTTGGTTCATAATGTGTACTTTATCTTTTGAGCAAAGGCTAAGATGTGAGGCAATGGTGTCTTCTAGCTGTGTTTCTGTCTTAATTATGGATAGAGAATTTATGAAATGCCAATATTCCCCCCTTGTGATGCAGTCAAGTGAACCGTCTTCGAACTGTTTGTCTGTCTTAATTATAGATGGAGAATTTATGTCATGCCAATTTCCCCCTTGTGATGCAGTCAATAGGCATTTATTCTTTGAATTACCATGTTCAAACCATTGTTTGAATTCATCATGTTGTGTTTATCCTTTTAATAACGTTTTTACTACTATGATAAGGAGAATGGAGTTGTTAGATCATGTAGCTGAAATCCTAGGGGATCTGAAGAATGGGTTTTATGCTGTACTCATGGGAGGAGATTCAAACTATAAGTATTGAAACTTGCCTAATATGTCTTAAGATGTGAATTCAGAAGGAAAATAATGTTGTTTTTTTTTTTGGCTGTAAAAAACAGTTGGATGTGCATTCTAGGAAATATACATGACATGTATATATATTTGCACCCGTATCCTACAATTTTGAAAATTGCCATATCCACTGTGTCATGCTACATCGTATCTGACACATGTACACATATCAGTGCTTCTTAGCTATTAATTCAGGTTCATTTTTTTGGGCCAAAATTAATTCTGGCTCATTAAACACAAAAGTTTGTTGCATATAACCAGAATTGTCAATAGTGATGTATGGAGTATATTTCAGTTCTTGAGTTTTGGTTGCTTTTTGCTTGGCAGTTGTAATGCTTAAACTTGGAATGAGTCACGTATTAATTTGTCTCATATAAAGCTCCTTAGTGGCAATAAGTGATTTTTATTGAAGTTGTCTCGTTTAAATAGTGTTTTCCTTTATAATGGGTTGTATTGGAGTGGGTATGTGTGTGAATAATCATGAGCCAGGACTTGGCAACTTTGTGTTTACATGCTTGGCAATGCATCTGATGGTTTGTTTTTGGTTGGATTTTATTTTTAAAACTATTAAACTAAATAGAAGTCATTATAAATGTGATCATGTTGCAGAAGCTGTGGGATGGAGTTTTCAAACAGAATAATACTCTATAGGATCTGGTATTAAGGGATTATTATTATTATTATTATTATTATTGTAGTGACCCAGAATGCTCCAACTGTCATCCATGTCAAGTGTCTTGATTTGATGTTTTCACTGACTTTTTGTGGGCTAATTTTATGTCTTGGCTTGAATCTTCAGGCACTTACTGAAGCAATGCTGTTGGCAGATTTAGAACAAGATACGGTCCGTTAATGCTGCTGCATGCTGTACCTAATGATATTTGGTTATTTTGGGTATCATCAGTAACTTAAGTTCATTTTATGTCTCTTGATTTTTAAACCTTTTTTGCAGGTGGATTTCGTTCCAAATTTTGATGATACACAGAAAGAACCATTAGTTCTACCTGCCCGACTCCCAACCTTGCTGTTGAATGGTGCTTCAGGGATTGCGGTGATTTTGGGTTCCTTTTGCATGCTTGAGACAGCTGCTGATACTTATTTGATTTCTATCTCCAGAGATATAACAGCTCTTTTTTAATCTTAATCAGGTTGGCATGGCGACCAATATCCCTCCTCACAATCTTGGAGAATTAGTAGATGCACTCTGTGTTTTGATTCATAATCCAGAAGCTACTGTGAGTACCAAATCTTGAGTCTCTCTCTATGTGAAGGCAGTTAATTGTTTCTAGTTTCTTGTGGATGTTGGAAATTCTGGGATGGGATTTGCTGGTTTATATGGTTGGAAGGGATTGCCTGCAATTTTAAGGGCATTTCTAGGCACGTATTTACATCATTGGATAGTATTGGTGCTTTGTGCATCATATTTTAAGGGGTCACTATTGGTCAGCTCTGCTAACTTGATTAGCATTTTGGTCACTCGGGTTATTTTCTTTGGTTTTTGTTGAGGCCTACAATTTTTTCCCTCATTTGGGGATTTCTTATCCTACCTCCCACACATATCTTCTCTTTATTCTATTAAAAAAAAAAAAAACCCTATTTTTGTCCTTTATGTTTTGAGGTTTAGTTCAAATTTGGCTGCTTATTTTTTGTTGATTCCAATTTCATCTCTTAATTTTTGACAAAATTATTTCTAGATGTTAATGCTGTCAAAATGTTTGATTGATAGTATTGGTGCTTTGGGCATCAGAGGGTCACTATTTGTCAGCTCTATTTGTGAATCCTACGTGTTCTTCCTCCTTCCTCTTCTATTTCTCCCTAAATTTCTTCTCTGTTTCAGTCTCACTCTCCTCTCTTTCTCTCATCTTCTTCAAGTTCAGTGCTGGAGTTTCCACTGAGAAAGTGCAACCAAGAAAAAGCTTCACTTTCCCATGCCTCATCACTCAAATCATCCTCTTCCATTCTTTACTGAAATCTCTTGGGCATCAGTTAGTGAAAGTAGGTTACTATAGTATTTCAAAATTATAAATTTCTTAAACTAGGTTGCTATAGTATTTCAAAAATATAAATTTCTTAAACTAGGTCACTATACTATTTCAAAAATATAAATTTCTTAAGTGTCTTTAATATGATCCAATGGTATTGGACCTTGCACCATTGCTATTACGGAGTTGCAGTTTGTGAACTTATATTTTCTTAAGAATGGAGTCTATAAAGGAATCATGACCTGAAAGAAAGATAATTGCTGGAAAAGAATATCAGAGTGGAATCTTGGAGTTTTTGAAGCTAATGCCCAAGGTTCCAAAATGAGAGCCCTATGGTTTTATACCGTGGGTGCCATTGATTGGCTGTGAAGACATAGTCTGCTGAGGTTTTAGTATGAAGCTCATTCATTGCAGATTGGCATGTTGTGATTGGAATGAACATTTTCATATAATTCAGCAATGTCTTTATTATCATTAGTTGCCCAATGCATCATACTTGTATGCCATATGCTTTGGATAAAATGAACAAGTGCCCTCGTTACTTTTGAGTCATAATGATCTTCTATTTTTTGTAATTGTAACTGAATTTTCTTGTTGGTTTTGTTGTGTTGTAGCTACAAGAGTTGCTGGAATACATGCCTGGACCTGACTTTCCAACAGGAGGGATAATTATGGGAAATTTTGGGTGAGTTGATTTACAATATCTTAAAAGTTTTTGGGGCTGTCTTTTTATGAGGCCCAAATTCCCTACTTAAAATCATGTTAATTAATAGCCAACAATATATCTAGTGAAGTTATTGAATTAGACTTTTTGGTTAACAATATTTTATTGATAGGAGTCATACGCATATAGGAGGAGTTGAGAATAAATCTAATAAAATCCCTTAAATCTCTCCTGTAATGTGAGAAAATAAAACTGAGGTAATAATGATAATAATTTGATGGAATTGAAATTAGCTACTTTGTTTTATTGAAACTTTGGAAAGTTCAAATTTACATGATGAATTTGATGTTTACCTTAGGCACAATTTTTGTCAAGGTACTACTTAATTTTGCTTTCTCTAGAACTTTTTGTCTTGCTCATATTGTTGCAATCATCTGTGCTCATTTTTCCAAAGGATCTTAGAGGCATACCGTCGTGGTCAAGGACGGGTTGTTGTAAGGGGAAAAACTGATATTGAGATGCTTGATTCTAAAACAAAACGGTCTGCAATAATCATAAAAGAGGTGGAATTTCAAACTCTGTCCGATCATGTTGTTAGACGTCTACTTTTATACCTCTCTTCAGAGAGTTTAATGGAAATTTTTTCTTCTATGATTGGATTAGATTCCTTACCAGACAAACAAGTCTGCCTTAGTGGAGAAGATTGCCGAACTTGTGGAAAACAAGGTAAACTATCATTGTGTTTATTAACACATTAAGTCTTAAGAAATATCAATTTGTGTTTTTTCCCCCTGAAAGACAGATCTGTGCAAGACAAATAGGCTATTTTTCATCTGAACTGTGGTTTCTCCTTATGTGCACTGCGGGAAACTACCTTATCACTTTGTTATAGATGATTTGTAGTTAATCTCAAAACCTAGTAATGCTATAATTTTTTTTTTTTTAGTACTTTGCCTATGGTTTTAGTTTCTTCTCTCTGCTTTGGTGGCTTTGAAAGTCAGTCAAAAATTGAGTGCAGAAAAGTAAGATAGTTTTCATGTGATTGGTTGTTCATACTTTGCGAGGTAATTGATTGGGCCAAAAGTTTAATTGCTTTCCCTATGGTATAAATAATCGTATGCTGTGCACTTGTAGCGCAGCATCGGGAAAAACTCTATAGTTCCTGATAACTAAGTTATAAAAACAGGTAACATGATTATCATTCATAAATCACAACCCCAAGCTTTTAGATCGGAAAATATATTAATGTTTAACAATTTTTGAGTCTTAAGCTTTGCCTTGAGTCTAAATTAATGCCTCTTTGTCAGATGAAACATCATTAATCATTTCCTCTATAATTTTATTAGTGTGGCTCACATCCAAACTATGAAGCATAGACTTTATGGCATGTTTGCACGCATGCACATGCACATGTAAATTATAATCTAAGGCCTGCTTAGTAAGAATGAACCGATGGCTTCTCTTTTTTGATTCTTTTCTTAATGCTATTATTCTTTGTAATCATTAATCAACAATTTTTATTTATTAATCATTTTCTCATTCTAATTTCTCTTCTATTTGACTCCATTCTATGTAAAAAATGTGTCCCAACTATCTTACACAACTTTTATATATTAATCTGCCAATTTCTTTCTCCGTTTTGGCTTGAACCCATCCCCACCTATCAAACTTTGCTGAACTACTGCGTTTCTGGGAAATATTTGGAACCTTGAATGCTGATTTCCTGTAACCTTTTAACCGCTTTAAACATATGACCACTCATTTTGATTTGACTCCGAGACCTATGCAACAGAAATAGGGAAAACAAATGTGGGTCCAGAGGAGGTAATTGGAAGAAAATGCCGATGTAGGACTTCAAAAATGATAATGATAGAATTGCTTTACTTGTGAGCACTATGAAAGCAAAATTTGCAAAATTATGGAAGATGAAAATCACTTTCTGCTGTATAGGGCTTTGACCTCAAGCTTCCTTCTGTTTTGGAGAAAGAAACTGAGCATTAGAGTTAGTATAGTGTGGCTATACGCCTGACCTAGGAAAGGATTGTATTGGGGGTTGAGAGAATCACTTTTTGGACTTATAGTAGTTGTTGATTTCTCATGGGAAGGGAGGACTTATTTTGTTGATCAAGTTTGGTGAGGAGAGTGCCGGTCTTTCGAATGCCAGGTTAAGGGTGGAGGAAGAGTCTTTCTTCATCATTTTCTCTGTATTTTAGTGTGTTAGTGAGTTGAGTGTTCTGTATCATTAAGCTCTACCAGTTATATGTTGTATTGTAACTCATTATTTTGTGTGATCATTACCAGTTTCAGCATTGTTTTTCTACTGTTTATCCTGGTTCCTATCAAATAACTTGGAGTTTGATGGTTTGATTGAAGTGATTTATATTGGGTAATATTTTAAGGCAGATTTGATGCAAGTTGCTAACATCAGCTTATTTGCTCCCAAAATACATGTTTGTTATCTAGATTTTGAGGTTTTTACTTTCAACTTAAAAAATACATGTTTATCTCGTTTTCTTTTGATTCTTTCATATGGATGTGGTAATCATACGCTGGAGGGATTTGGAGGGGCCTTGGCTTCTATGGCTATTTCTATTATAATTTGTTAAAAGTGTCCAAATTTTTTTTGCAAAAATGGAATGAAAAAAAACGTTTTTTACACACACATCTTTCAGCACTGGGCAGGTCTGGTCGGGCTAAACTGGACAGCATGATCAGTCTTCTGTCTGATCTGGCCTTTTTTCTTTGAATATGTATATATATTTTTCGGTGGCTTAGTCCAACTTAACATGATTGTGTAGCACGTGGTGGCAAGACTACCTTGCCTGATAATGCATTTCAAATATTTTTTTTTTATTATTTTGGTTGATTTAGTGTATGCGGGCTTCTGGCAATTGTTGATTAGTTTGTGTTGTTTTTTCTATAGGATGGTGGTAGAGTTGGGGGGTGATTTTTCAATGTTTGGTGAACTGTATATGGTGCTTTGGTGTTTGAATGGCAATTTGGATGTCATGAAATGAAAAAAAATTAGCACCTAGCAAAGGAGTTGTTTACGGGATTACGGGCCCAAGAGCCTGCTTGAATTTAGATTATATTCTGCCTAGTTTGTTTCCTAGAATCTCAGTATTATGTAATCATAATGCATATAACTTAAGGGTAGATGAGTCTTTAGATTAGACCAGGATTTTTAGTTTCCATATGGCAGCGTCAGTTAATTAGTTAGTTAGTTACATTTCCTTTTTCCGTTTTCCTTCTATAAAAGGATACTCTCTTAGAGCTGAGAATGCGGGCTGGCGGTGCGGATACGGGCCAGCCCGCAGCGGTGCGGGCCAAAAGCGGTGCGGGCTGAAGTAGCCCGCACTTTGGCGGGCTGGCACCCGACGGGCTCGCCGGCCCGCCTAACTTTTTTTTTTTTTTTAAAAAATATTATTATTTATATAAGTTTGAGCTTAGTTTGTAATGTTAAAATTGGACTTGGAGTTTTAAACTTGAGTAATGAGTTATAATAAAATAATGTGAGGATTAATTTATAATTTGAGAATATATTTTAGAAAAACTAACACATTTTTTTCTAAATAATTAATTTGACTATTTTTCTTATCCAAATTAATTAAGTAGATCTTTTATGTATGTATTACATATGCAATTACATTGATGAGAAGATGTAAATATGAAATTTGGGGGTTAAAATCCTCTAATTATGTTGTATAATATATTAGAAATTATATAAAATTAAAAATTAAAAAAAAAAAAAGCGGGTTGAAAGCGGTGTGGGCTGGAGTAGCCCGCACCTTGGCGGGTTGGCAAAATGCCAACCCGAGCCTGCCATTTTTGGCGGGTTGGCGGGCTGGGCCCGCGTTACCAGCTCTGTACTCTCTGGACTAAATGAGTTGTAATGTGAATTGTGAATGAAGTCAGGATTATCTCCAACTCTTTGCTCTCTGTTTCCTTGTTCCCTTCTATCTCTCTGTTCTCTTCTATCTTCCTATACTCTCCTTTTTCTTCTCAATTTCCCTCTTTCTCCTTCTTTTTTGGTTCCTGATTACAAGATCATACCACTCGGCATATGTCTCTAGATTTATTGCTAATTGATTTTTTCCCTTGATTTAATTTCAATTGTTGTAATCTGGACTATCCTAGAAGATTTGGTAAGCCTGGGATCAATCTCTATATAGGTACATACTTTCAACTGAATAATATACGCTTTTTTGGGTAATACAAACTTCATGGTATCAGAGCATCGACCATGATTCGATTCGGATTCGGATTGGATCAATTAGGCCACGACAGCCTCAAGGGATGAGTTAGCAAGTGCCACAAGAAGCCTAATCTGCTTTGATCACCATTCAACAGTTAAATGGTCACAACAACCTCCAATTGGCCGTTGGGTTATGGCTTTACATAACCGGAAAAGGAAAGATTGGCTATCTCACCGGTGCAAAAGCAAAACCAGCGACCATAGATACAAAATATGTAGAGTGGGAGATTGAGAGTTCCATGGTGTAGTGTTGGCTGGTAAACTCTATGACACTATTTCAATCAACAAAAGAAGTCTGGGATGCAGCACAAGATATGTTTGCGTCAGTGAAAAACAGAGCTGCGATTCTAGAGATTGAAACTAATCTAGATAACCTCAAGAAAGGTAATTTCTCAGTTACAGAATATTGGACTAGCCTTCTTGTCTTGTGGCAACAATTAGACTCCTACGAAACCTATGAGTGGTCATGCTTAAGTGATGCACTCTTGTACAAGATAAAGGAGGAAAAGCGAATATATAAATTTTTTCTCAATCTAGATGCCTCGTATGATGCTACTCGAGGCCGAATTATGAGTCAAGAGAAGTTACTAAGTTTAAGAGAAGTCTTCATCATAAAACCACCAATAGAAGAAAACGAGTTTGGTGCATTCTTCTCCAAAGGCTATCAATCCAATGACAGCAGAGGAAAGAAACCTAATAAATGGTGTGATCACTGTCAAAAGGCAGGACATGCTAAAGATATATGTTGGAAGCTTCATGGGAAGCCGTCAAATACCAACGGCTGAGGGAAACAGGAGCATAGAGCTAATGCTGAAGGTAAAGAGTATAAACCAGAATTTGATGATAAGCTGAGTGGAGAAGATATCGAGCTCTTGAAGAAGTTGCTTGACAAATATGACACTTGAGAGGCCCTAGTAGCTATTGGTAACGTTGCCTACACAGGTAATGCCGTCCTATCTCTTAATAATTCTATGCACCACAATGATATGTGGATTGTTGACTCAGGAACCATAGATCATATGACTGGTAATAAGGATTTAATCAAAAATATCAAACCATGTCCTGTTCCTATGTTTATTAAAGTAGTTGATGGAAAATTCATCAAGGTACATAGAATTGGAGAAACTAGTTTATTTGACAATTTGGTGTTAGAAAGAGTGCTTTATGCTCCTGATTTAAAGGGCAGTCTAATATCCAGCAAGGCTACTCTAACTTAGCAATGTCGTGTTAACTTCTCTGCCATTTGGTGTTTTTTCTGGGACTTGGAGTCGGGGAGAATGATTGGTGAAGCTAAAGAACTAGAGGAACTGTATTGTGTGCAACATCAAGCTTGGAGGACTTAGACAAGCAAACTAGTCACTTAAAACTCATGTTTCTAACCAAGAATTGTTGTTATGGCACTATAGGTTAAGCCATCCCAATTCTCAGTATATGTTAAAGTTAGTTCTAGATTTGATGAATAAAAATTCTG